GTGCAAAAAACGCATCTTCGCACGGGCAGTCCGTGCGTTGGCCAATTATTTAAACTTCATGTGCTACTCTAGGCATTTGTCTTAGCGGTTTACTTGATAGTGCATGCTCACTGAATGACAGCCATCGCTTCGTCGCAAAACGCGCATTATCTCATACTGACCGTTATCTTTAGATAAAATTTGAGGAGCTAATAACAGTCGCACTCCAACATCTCCGCCAAAGACGGAACATATAAAAAATATATAGCACAGATACTAAGACTGTCCAGGCTATCTCAGTGTTGGGTGCCCCAAGTCAGTGATGTCACTGGGATGCTTCTACAGGTGAACGCAAATGTGCTGGATCCGCCGATCATGAGCTGCATCCCTTCACTTAGGACCCACTGCAGCTATGCACGTAAACGTAAAATTTTTTGAAAAGTTCGTTGCAGAACAAAACTCTTAGCACCGAATCAATTTTTGAACATTTTGCGACCTGCTTCTTAAGTTCTCCTCCTCTCCCCTCGCTCTCCAATCCTTCCTTTCCTCTCCTTTCCTGCCCTCCCCCTTCCCCTTCCTCCGAACCTTCTTTTTCCGTTCAAGTCCTTTTGGTGCATAGAGAGTCTGAATGAAGAAAAAATTCGAAAATTTGATCACAGAATGCATCATTTAGCTGAAGGAAAACGAAACTGGACTGAGGTGCATTGTTGGAGGGAAAAAATTTTGCTAAAAAGGCGAAAAATTGCATGATTGGGAAGTGAAAGTGACTGAAAAGTGCAACATACATTAATTAGCAGGAGTTCTAGATTTAGTGCTGGTAGGCTGAACAGCTTTGAACAAGGGACGGGCTTTGCTAGGATTCACCACTGTTTGATGCAGGTGTAATAAATCGGATGATCGATACATCACAATTGCCGTGACAATAGTAATGCATCATCGGAGAAATATTACGCAAGTTGCAGTATTAAACATGACAATATGTTGTTGTTTCTGAGGAATCAACAAGCCCTTTTTCTCCTCGATCTTTGCACTTTTCCTGGATATTTCAGGTGGTGTTCAGTGAACGGGGCTTGCCCACTCACCCACACACACATACACACATACACGCTTTGCATAATTCAATGTCGGATTAAATGATAAGTGAAAGAATAAAATATTTGGTAAGTGAAAAAACTAGTTCCAAAGATCATCAAACAGGGAGGAGGCAAAACCGTTAGCGAAGAGGGGCGTTGGGTGTGCCGCTGCGTGTGTGTTCATTTAAAGCAAGGTCGGTGGTCGGCCTCGATCTTCCCCCCATTTCTAAACGGTATGGAATTTTCATCATTTTTTATTTTGTTTCTGTAAGCTAACGCCACTTTATACTAAGAGAAAATTATCAACCCAAATACGCGATGAAAGAGACGCTGCGGGAGTCCAATGCTATGTGGTACTGCCTTACAACAAACAGCGGTAGCAAACTTGTCAGTGGTTTCAACCCCTATTATTTTCTCGCTTTCTAAGTCGTGAAAACTGCGGGAATTTGAAGGAGGATATCAGTCCTGTAATGATCAGCATTAAGAACAAGTAGTGTGAAGCGTGAATAGGTGTAGCATTCCGAAATGAACGGCTGTAATGAACAAACGGTGAGCACAAAGTTTTACCTTTTTCCGTCATTTGCTGCTGGTGCGCAGTAAAGCTTTGCCAGCATGCTTCTGTTGGAAGAATCAATGGGCTGGTAATCTCTTCTGGGGGTAAAATGAATGTCGAAGCCGCCAGCAGTCTGATCGCAAAATGTAATGGTGCAACAGAACACTGTCATAACAACCGGAGAAGTTGCCAGCTGCATAGTTGAAGAATCACACTGTAAACCACAACTCGTCAAAGTACCAATATTTTAGAAATCATCCGAAGGTTGTAGGTGTACTGAACTTTCATGGCATGCATCATCCTTGAGCTGTGGATCAACCTAAATTTGAGCCTGAGGTTAGCTAAAAAGAACGAGCCAATGAGGTGGAAAATTCAGGTCGTTCACTCTGCTTTTTTTGACGAATCAAACTGACGAATCAAAAATTCAAATTGAGCCATTCTGCAAAAATACGAAAATCAGTTGTGCAGTCAGTGTGGGTACTCGAAGATAGTGATGTTACTGAGATGTTCTTATACACCGGGCGCAACTAAGCCAGAATTATTGATCCTGTATGTGCACTGAGTGAGTGAATTAAACCTTAGGCCATACGCACGAAATACTGGCCATTAACATTCCAGCTGCCAC